GACCTACCACCTTGTAGTTGTTCCCAGAAGAAGAAGGACTTTCAGAACTACACAGAGATTATGAGATGACCTACCACCTTGTAGTTGTTCCCAGAAGAAGAAGGACTTTCAGAACTACACAGAGATTATGAGATGATCTACCATCTAGTAGTTATTACCAGAAGAAGAAGGACTTTCAGAACTACACAGAGATTATGAGATGACCTACCACCTGGTAGTTGTTCCCAGAAGAAGAAGGACTTTCAGAACTACACAGAGATTATGAGATGACCTACCATCTAGTAGTTATTCCCAGAAGAAGAAGGACTTTCAGAACTACACAGAGATTATGAGATGACTTACCACCTGGTAGTTGTTCCCAGAAGAAGAAGGACTTTCAGGGCTATTCTCTTATGCAAGTTACACTCTTCTACTGCTGCAGCAACTATAAGTCCTCCAAGAAACATCATCATGGTATCCTGCACGATCACATCAATTAAAATATTACACTATATAAGGGAAATAAATGGACAGTTTTAGAGATATAAAAAGCTATTTACATAGTTCTAGGAATATTCAAAATTTCCTTTGCTGATCTAGTGATAATTATAAGCTTCATACTATAAAATACTTCTCATTTTTGTACATTTTACTTAATAATTGAATGTTTACTTGCAATAGAAATAATTTTAAGGTTGAAAGACGTGAAATCATTATTTTGTTGCTTCATTTATATGTAATCAAATTTATAACTTTCCAAATAAATATTTGCTGGGAAATATTGTCCAAAAGACGTGAATATTGTTACCTTCATGTATGGATAACAGGCTTCTGCTGTACTCAATATTCCGAAAAGTGGAAACAGAAAAACTGGAAGTAAGGCTGTCACACAGATGGGAACAGGTTCAGCCACGAAGAATGCAGCCATCAATAATACCACATATGCACACTTAGCCACCTTGTGGAGAGAAAAGTAAAATAAGTGAATTAGACTTTTCATTCAGAAAAAAAAATAACGGATTCACCTGAGACAGTAAAATAGGCATAAGAAAGAGAACTGCTACAATAAAGCATTGCCATCAATAGCTACGAGGTCATATCATAAATCTTTTTCGATTTTCTTCACTCACCATACACACAATTACATAATTGGAAATTATAGCTTGAAACCTAAGTTTGACTTCGGTAGATTATTGACTCTGGTTATGGTGATGCAAGAGAGCAGACATTACAAATTGTATTAACATAAAAATAGGAAAAACGAACGGAAATGTGAAAAGAAAATAGATATAACACTTTGAATTATGGAAAGAAAGTAGACATTTGAATTAAACTGTAAAAGAAAAGTAGGCATAATGAACTGAATTGTAGCAGGAAAATATGCATAACGAATTAAACTGTAAAAGAAAAGTAGGCATAATGAACTGAATTGTAGCAGGAAAATATGCATAACGAATTAAACTGTAAAAGGAAAGTAGGCATAACGAAATGTACAAGCTAACAAACATATTCCAATAATTCCTTAGAATATTGTAAAAACATGAGACAGTGCTGAGGCATGAAACGTATCTTAAGCAAAAACATGTTTTAAAAGTAAAGGTTTCACATAAAATAAGACTAAAAATTAGGATGTCTCACCTCGTTTTGAACTATATTTGATTTATGAGCTTTAGTATTGAGTGATCAACAGAAACATTACGTCTCAATTGAAGACTAAGTTATGTTTTTATTTGAAACATTAACATTTGTGTTTTTTGTAAATATTTTATTGAATGATTATATTTCGTCTAATAAAACATGTTTATGTATTCGATTATAGAAACAAAGTTATATGTGAATATTATAATACAGAACTTAACATTACTAAAATTAAATGTACATTAGTTTATTAGTGGTGTTTGCTATGTGTAAAAACATTAGTTGTAGACATAATGTAGATGAATTATTCATCCAAATATTTATTGACTTGTAATATCAGAAAATACACATTTATAAAGTTTTTATTTGAATAAATTTGCTACACATATACAATAAAAGATAAACATGAAAGTCACTTTCTAAACATCCACGTTTGATAAAGGTTTACATATTTCTGATGTTCATGAATTCATACATGATAGGGTGACCTCAGTCTCAGTCTTAGTTTTACTCATTGTTAATTGATTCACTTATTTCATTCTAGGGATTTTTATAAGTAACGTTTTTCTTGTTATTGTGTTTAACTTGTCCTTTACTCACAATAATGAACCTATATTCATATATATATATATTTGAAGAATAATTAACATTAATGCTAATAATTTATTTTTCTAAATACTCAGCTGACAAGCTGTTTTAAAGTTCGGTGTAATTTTATTTCTTTTATCAGCAAGATCGTGAATTTCGTCGAGAAGGTGCTATTGATTATAGGTGAAACTCCTGAAGTCAAATTAACTCAACAACAAGTAGAAAATCGAAGCAGAGACTGGGTTTTGTCTTTTTCGTCGAATTTTGCAATTTTGATGAAGAAATAAAAATTACATCATCTTTAAATGGCTCGTCCGTTGAATAATCCAGTGTTGTACACTTGTACCATCAATGTTGCATATTCTGATTACCTGTATAAATTAGGATTGAACATGGGATTTGAACATGTAAATCAGCAAGCCATGTGATATCAACAGTCGCTATAAAGTAGCGGTGGAACGTTTCGACATTGTGGGGTGCTATCAATTTTTTTTTCGTTTTTAGGAAGCGTATGCAACAGCTTTCTATCCGAATCAAATTATTCATACACTGAGATCATGAAGATGTGTTCACATCAGGGATGTAGAATTTCCAAGACGGAGATATTATCTCCTATACTGAACGGCACTGGAAAAAAAATGGGATCAACTTGGAACACAAGGACCACACAGAAAGAGACTTGCAACAAGTCACATCCCATATGCAAAGTAAAGCGTCTTGTAACAAGCGAAAATTCACAAACACAAATATTAGTAGCAAAATCCGTCCACGTGTTCTTGACGACAGTATGCAACATAACGAAGAAGATTCACCTTCTGGAAAAGCAACACAAGTCACGTGTACATGAACACAAGTTATTTCAAGGACATATCAGTTCAACCGTCGCATACCTCAAGTTACTGGTGTTAATGCGACTATATGTGAAAACATGCCAGTCAAATCGCGGCCCGTGGTGTCTGTGGATTTCTGTACTATTGGACTGGGAAATTGGCTCTGGGAAACCGTCGTCCTCGTATACTAGATGGTTTACGGAAAGCATGCAGGAAGGAGAGATATGCTCTGAACAGAACATTCTTACTACAGAGCCAGTAGAAACTATGCTGCAAGTATATTGTCAAGATGTACGGCTGTCAATTAGAGTATGCCATGGACTAAAATGACATAGTGATACTCCAAGATTGCTTTAATATAACGTAGTCAATCATGTATTGCTTCACTATGGTGAGTAAGGAAAAACTTAAGCACCATATGTAACTTAAACAATATGAGAGGGATAGTATGTTTTTACATTTGTCTTCCTCCTAGGTCGCTGATTTGAGGTGATATTCCGGTGAAAAGTGGCAAATTGAATAATAGATTGCGTTTCACTTTTCTTTTACGCCTAAATCCACATCTTTGATGATGAAACAAAATTTTAAAACTATTGTTTTTATTATTGGTTCCAGTGAATTGTAGATAATTTAAGTATATATAAAAACTATATCAGTGCACAATAAGACCAACCTTGAATAATCTTATAATGCAGATAAATTTGAACAAATCAAGTTAATTCAAAATATGTACATTTATAATTTAGGAAATAAGCCTTAAACTCCCAAGTTCCTGTATATTATTGTTTTGCTTTAAAGCACATAAACGGGCAAAAACATCATTAATATTTCAAAAGGGACAGCAGCTTTTAAAACGCCCGTAATAATTTAGACTGAGACATAAAGGATATTTTAACAAGGGGCACACTTATAGAGGGGCATTTCTGAAGGAAAAACAAAAAGCGTGTAAACAGTCCGGGGGGCTTGGTTCTCGAAGAATTTTGTAATTGTCACTGAAACTGGCGTATTTTTAAGATATCTGAGGCTGTTCTTTTTATTTTTTTAAATACGTTTTATACACATTTAGGAGTGCAATCACATTCCCCTTTCCCTACCTTCGAGCATCTTAAAGGAAAAAAAACACATCAAACCATGAATATTAAATATTGGTGTCTCATACTGAAACATTATGTTTTGACTTCCAACAGTATAAGTGTTTTGAACTACTTGACTTTCCTCAAAACGCATGTGAAACACGTTTCATAATACTTTGTGTATCAACCTGAGGCATTTCTATTTAGAGTGACATCCTCTTTTCAGTGTTTTGGCGGGAGTAGCAGAAAGTGATCTAAAAACAATGTTAATGTTTTATTAAGAAAAATGCTGAACCAGAGTCACTTATACATCAAATAACGAACTTTCTGGTAAAACTTAGTAAAACTTGAATCAAGTACCAAAATATTCAAAATGAAGTGATGAAACTTTAGTCGCTCTTTATACTTGATTTATAAAACGTATCAGATCAACATCAATGAGATTTAAATTCCCGACTTCGGAACAATATAAATAAAACTTAATTTCTTTCTAATTTCAGAACGGTGCAAATAGAACACAAGTTTCTAATAATACCAAACAGCTTAAAGTAACAAAAATATATCAAGTAACTTTGAAACCAAATATCATATCTAACTTTATCTTACTACAGTAAATTGTACAAGAACATTCGATGTTACTTTAACAATATAATATATAAGAAACAGCACAATTACCGTTATTATTGTTCCATACAATTTCAATTACGTGTGTTAATATTAGTGGGTATGTTAGTATAGTACCAGTGTTTAAAATATATATTTCTTTGTTTTAAACATTATCTTCGATATACCTAAACTGGTATGATAAATTTTGTTTCAGTTTCTACGAAATCTTATATGAAGTATTTTTTTTATAATGGTACATTTAAGGTTTTAAAGCACGGTTCTTTTTTTTTACAATATCTAAAAACCTTATAATATGAGTAAAATAAGGAACCAAAGATTTGATTAAAATATAAGACACATCCGGTGAAGGGAACATTCCAATGGAGAAATTACTGATTAAGGTCAAAAGGTTAGAAGGTCCTAAGATCGCGAGATCTAATGGAACAATGAAAGATAATCTAATCAGCTTATTACTGTATTCACTGCACTGATCAACACTCACCTGAGTACCAATTACCAGTGGTAATGGAAGAAGAAGAAGAGGAACGGCCAGTCCGAAGATAAGTCGCCAGGAGTAACGGAAGGAACGAAAGACTGCCGCTATTCGGAGTATCATTATGTCAGTACACAAAAGGCACTTTGGTTGTACTCCAATCTTGCTGTTTGTTTAGTTTCTAAAGTCTTGATTTGTCCTAAGAATTTGACATTCAGACCTATTTCTGTCAACGTTCTGCCTGTTGTCTGTTGCTGTTCAACTTGCTGTCTCTCGCTATGCAATGATTTCTGTAGAGCAGATTGTTGAAAGTCGCGTGGATGCCTGTCTACCTTCTGATTCTCACAGTCCACTTTAGATTCTCTTTATATGCGAACATAACTTTCTGATTGGCGCTATTTAGCCTACAGAGATAACGAAAGGATATATGGTATCTCTGAAAGTTTGTGATTGGTTGACATCCTTCAACTGAAGAGGCAAAGGAAGGAAGGGGGATAGTAGAATATGGGACTATGCGTGACGTGTTAAGCCTACTGACCATTACCAGCTTTGAAGTAACACTTAGCTAGCTTTTTACATCGACATTAACATTAACACGGTTCTTTCGCATGTTAGTGTTTTTATCTAGACGTATTTGTCAAGCATCCTTATGATGCAGATTAATAAAATGATTTATATATATATATATTGTTTTTTACATTTAAGTGTCTTTTAAACTGGTAAATATTCTTGTAAATAATTTTACTTCTTAGTCTATTCTTTAACATTCAATATTCTTTTCTGCAAGACATTATTTTGTCTTTATATTATCAAAACGATTCTCAATGAAACTTTTTCTTGAAAATACACTTCTTAAACGGGTCTTTCTAGCTCTTGGAATAGTGTCTTACAGCACGTGAATTTTCTGAGTTGACAACTATTGATAATTCTTTTCACAAGTCATAGAGTATTTTGGGCTAATACGAAATAACTAAATAGCTATCAGGTATAATATTGCATTAAATGTAACGTACACATCCTATCAAATTATTTAGTTAATGATTCACTAGGCCTAACGAGATTCAAATCTCTGGTCCATTCCCTAGGAGAGACTGTGTGGTTCTCCCATTTTTTACAGCATTCGTTGGTCATTGAAGTAGTGTTATTATTATACCATTTCTATTATAGCATGTGTATGATTCAGAGGATTAATTTTTAAACCTTTATATTAGATAAAGTAGCAGCTTCTTCTAACGTCAGACAGTTGTTTCTCTTTTCATTACATATCACTACTGAGCAACCCAAAATTTTATATTACTAACTCGTTTTGTTACAAACCTTTCTTATCAAAATCTATGTTGAATACCGTTCCACTATTCATTCTTAATAAAATCCGTGTTACACACTGTTGTACTGTTCATTCTGAACAAAAACCAAGTTACACGTTGTTCTACATCTCATTCTGAACAAACTCTGTGTTTCACACTGACCTGATATTTCTCCTTAACAAATCTGTGTTACACACTGTTCTACAACTCGTAATCAACCTTCAATCACTGCCTCTACAGATGTGACGGTTGCCACAAAGATATCATACTAAATCAAACCATATTAGAAAAAGAGGCTTTGAAACATAATCTTTCTCTTCTACGTAACCATAAAAGGAAAACATTGTGTCTTTAACTGTTCATTATCTAGAATTGTACAACAAATTATGAAAACGTTTCTTAAACCTGTATAGCAGGATGGTTAAAAAGAAACACTCTCTGTTAGCAGTACTAAAACCGTCACATTTGTACAACTTGTACAAAACAGGAATTTGTAAACCACGTAGCAGCAATGTTCAAGTAATGTACATCTGTCCGTTACTGCTTGCATTATTTATTTCTGTCTTCCAGACACAAGTCTGATTAACTTGTTTGTTAGAAATAAGTTATACGGGATAAAAGTTGACACTATTGATAAATTTTAAATGAATTTTAAACTGAATGCTGCTAATGAATTTCGAATGATAAAAAAATTAAATAAAAGAGAATTACAATCTTATGTTTCTGAATATTTATTGCACCTGCTAAAAGTTACCTGTCTCTAAAGTTAAAGTGGGTCTCGACACAACTCGAAGGGGCACTATTGAAGTATATCGTCACGATAAAGTTATTCATTCTCATTGTTCTAGAGGAAATGTAATCGTGACGTAGTTATAAGCAGCACTCCACATGTCTCGTGTAAGAAGTTGTTTGATACGTATCACAACCACATTTTTGTGATAAAGGAACAGGTTAGAACCCATTTGATAATAGTAAAATAAAGTAGACTAGTTAAAACGATTTATTTGGAATTTCCTAGCTTTATGTACCACACAAGGTGAGTTCTGCGTGGTTTCCAAGAGTGGCCGTTGTTTTTATACACTTGATAAAGCTTGTTGTATATTCTGAAAAACACTCAAGTTCTTCAACTTCTTTATTTGTGATTTATTTATCCTGTCAGCTTACAAATACTATACTAATTCTGGACACATATTATCAATAAAATGTATTAGAAACTGGATTAAACTAATATGAAATAAAAGAACACAGTACATCGTGTGTGGCAGTTCTTGGAAAACCACAGTAACTGGACAAACTATCAGAAGACTTGAAATTTAAAAAAACTGGTTTCAACACATTTTTTCGTCCACTTCAGTTTCTCAATTTCAGGTTTTCTGATAGCTTGCACCATTTGCATTCACTAAACTAATTTGATATTATGAAACAACAATACCCTTCTGTACCTTTTGAATGTGTGTAGTCTTACAAAAAATTTGCGAATGTTGGCGTCTGTTACATCGTGTGAGTTAAAATAACATTTTCTGTACAGTGTTTCTCTTAGTTTCCCTGCATCTGTTAGGCTTAGAATCTTATGATCAATACAAACAGGTATGGTAATGTACAAGATCAAGTACAACGATTTCAACGTTTGCTCTAGAAAGTTTGTGGGGACAATGCTGATCCTCATGCTGTTAATCTGTAGTAAAGTTATGACTTGCATGCTCATTTTCTTAAGTTATTTCCCCCCCAAAAAAAACGTTCCTTATTATAGAAATGTCGTACTTCACTGTTAATTTCTATGAATCAATAGACTACCATATTATTTATCGGTGTGAAGCCTTACACCACTCTATTTAATAAATGGTAAGGCTTTACAGCATTCTATTTAAGATATCGTTTATTATGAGGTGTTACTCCAATATAATTAATATGTAGTAAGGCTTTACAAAATTTTATTTAAAAATGTCTCCCGGTGACTCGGCGGGAAATCCGAAGAATTATAATGCTAAAAATCTGGTTTCAGTACCCGTATTGGGCGCAGCACAGATAGCCCATTGTGTAGCTTTGTGCTTAACAAAAACCAAATAAACAAACCAATTTAAGATACCTTTTATTACCGTCAGGCGTTACACCACTATTACTCCCAGTGGCTCGTTGGTAAGTCTAGGAGCTTATAACGTTCAAAATCAGGTTTCGATACCCCTTGTAGACAAAACACAAAATAGTTCATTGTATAGCTTTGTGTTTAACTACAAATAAACAGACAATTCACCAATATATTTAAGATATATGTTATTTCCATGAAGAATTACATCACTATATCTAAAACATCATTTATTGGTGTGAGGCGTTACGCCATTTTATATTAAAATATTCTTTATATTCTGGGTGTGTTACATCACGCGATTATTTTCTTTTAATCGAAAACCTACAAAGTGTAATTTTCAAATTCTCTCACAACTTTCATAATGTTATTTTATCTTTTTTCTACACATACCTTTATAATGTTATTTTAATTGTATTCATACACTCGAAAGATCAGTTCCTGTACACGAGCCTTACAATTATGACCATCAGTGTTACATCCGTACCACAATCATGCGGATGGAGTTAAGCGTCAGTGGTTGTGAAAGAAAAATATCACATACTAAATATCGTATGAAATGAAATCACATCTACCTCCACCTACTCTTCCCGCTTTTCTGTTAAATATTTGGCATATAGCGCTGAGATTCTTGGAATAAATTCCATTTAATTTTCTAAAACTATTCCATTCAGATTCTGCTTAAAATATCGTTTAACTTTCACTTCCAATAGAAAAAAACCAAAACAAATCAACATTTTCTTGATTTGCGTGAACGATTTTCTCCCCAAAAAGAAATTAAACTTGTATTTGTTTTCGAAATCAAAAATGATAAATTGGCTAGAAAATGAAGATATATATATATATATATATATATATACAGTCTCGTGGTGAAATATAAAAGACGTCAAATTAGTATCATGAATGACGTAACTGTTGATCCTAAATACTTTTCATCCTGGTTTTTTAGGTTGAACTACAATATTTTTTCCATTTAATTCTCTAGGCCGTGGAAGGAGCGTCTGGCTCTGTCTTTAGACAAACGGTGAAAGAGAATTGATAACCAGTTATATTCTGGTGTTGAAACTAAGCCTTTAGAGCTATAATATGTCAGTCTTATTTTAAAATTAAAACTAAGCTTGATATTATCTATGAGGTTTTGAGTCCATTTTACTTTACCACGTAGTAACTTAAATTAATTTAGGTATGTGAATAATGTTATGACTTTTCGTCGAATTCATTATTCGGTATTATATAGCGAACTGTTTAATGATTCTATATATATGCTAAATTTTTCTTTTCTATTTCATAGAGGTAATTATTGAAAAGAGAATCTGTGATGTAGAGATCTAATGTATTCTTTGATTGGCCGTACCCTCTGCTGTGTACTGCAGTTTCTGCTCATCAGCACAACTTGGATCAGCAAACCACTGCAATACTCACAAGTCAGTCACTCATTTTAACAGACTCACAAAATCATTAAATAACTGACCATCTCACGTTTTATATGGTTAGTTAATTAATGATTTTGTGAGTCTCTTACAATGAGTGGCTGACTTGTGAGTATTGCAGTGGTTTGATTTGATTATCGAATTAGTCAGTTTGTTAGACGATTTATCTGTTACTTGATTTTTGGGAATATTGAGTATGTGTTTCAACGAAGTACGACAGAAACGAAAAGTGTCGAACGAACGAAGAAAGCAAGTAAGAAACTATTTAGCGTTATTTATAAAGATCGAATAATAGAAAAAGGG